GCCGACTTCTCTCGCAATTTGATCCTGATGCTCGATAACTCTTACCTATATATATATATATATATAGGAATAATATTTCTAAAGCGTTGTATCTTCGAATTGACAAACGTGCGAAAATAAAAATTGTTAGGATCGATTGATTTGAGAGAATAGATATTCGTTCATTGATCATTTCTGTGTAATTTTTTTCCAGGCAAACTTTGGATAGGCGATAACGAGGTTGCGTGGCGGACCGAACAGTCTTTCAAGAGGACCTCACCCCTAAACCCCTGCACCACCACGACTACCACGACAACGACAGGTGGTGGAGCACTGGCACACCCCCACCTGTCACCACCCATTGCCGCTCCCGTGACCACTCCCGATCACAGAAGCCCTAGCAGCCTCCACGTGAAGCTTGGAATTTCTCCTGGTGAGTAGTAGCTCAATTTTTACTCAAAATTCTTACGTATATTCTTACGATTTGTAATGAAAAAAAAAGAAAGTATTTAGATTCGTTATTTTAATTATATTCAAGAAATTCGTCGTTAATAATTCAAGAATTCGTCACCGATTTTTGAATTATCGATTATTTTGTACTTATAACTATCCGCTTCTTCTTGAATAAATCTTTTGGTGAAGTCGCTTCCATTTAGTCCGTTGAATTATACATATGTCGCGAATGTATGTGGGAATGTAGATGGTATGATAAATGTGAGAAAGAAAGAAATATCCAGGGACGGATTCTTTTGTCGAATACCATAACTGTGAATAATCATCCGTAAAAATTATACAAAAATTTCATTACGGATACGTTAAGTGGGCGGCGCGGATGGATAAAACGACGGGGGCAAATCCGAATAACTTATGCTTGCAAATACGCGATAAGATCGGGTTGGGTCGCGATCCAAGAGAAAGGAGAGTTCGGTGGTGGTGGCACTCCGAAAAAGCGGGAGGGTCAGCGGCTTAAAGCTGCCTTAAAGCGGGTGCTCTTTAAATAATGCAATAAGCTTGATGTCATTTGCCGGACAATGGGCGGAGGGAAGTTCCTTTTAGGGGAAGAAGGCCCATCGAAATTGCTCCTCGCAGGTGCTTTCGCTTCCGACCCTCGAGAGCCTCGCCCGATTCCTCGATTCGCGATCCTCGCGTCCCCCGTATTCAATCGCGCCAATTCAATAATTGCCAACGATAACAGTTTAACCATGTGGCGCCACTGAATTCATTAAATCAAATCAAACTTTATCTCGTCCTCGTTGGTATTAACTTATAGCGAGATCCGATGTCGCCGTGTCTTAATTTCGATTTAATCCCAAGAATCGTAATAATTGTGGTAATTGTTTAAACGTGTGGAGCGAAGAAAGAATAAATTTCTAAGATTTCATATAATAATTGCGTACCAAGAAAAACAACACACCTGAACATCTAGCTACTCTTGACAGTGCAACATTTGCCTCGATATAGAAGATTTTAAGTCAAACGATTCATATGTTCGAATATCTTTACATTCGAAAGTTAATTTAACACCCAAGAATCGTAATAATTGTGATAATCATTTAAACGTGTGGACCGAAGGAAGAATAAATTCTAAGATTTCTAAGATTTCATCGTATAATAATTATGCTGAGAAAAACACATATCTGAACACCTAGTTACTCTTGACAGTGTAACATTTGCCTCGAAGATATAGAAGATATAGAAGATTTTAAGTCAAACGATTGTTACGAATCATGTGTCCGAATATCTTTAGTTTTGGAAAGAAGGCGAAGATGTGATCCGATTTCCACACGACCGATTCTAAACGGACGCGTGATTAAAAAGCACGGTGGGAGGAGGTAGCAAGGGGGGATATAGAATAATCGGTGGAATGGCTGGAGGCGTTGCGCTGAAAGTGCGGCATCGCATAGCGCCGCTATCGATCCGAACCGGAAGCCGGTCCACCGGCTCGCTCGAGGAAGTCGGATTCACCCACCACGTTGGAACGGTGGCTCCTTTCGTTTTGCTTAAATAAACATTGCTCGAACAATAGAATCGGGGAGGAGGAGGAGGAGGGAGGGGCCCTCTTTCTCCTGGTAGCGATAGTAGTCGCGAGGAGGGCGAGGAGGGCCGATTCCCTCTTCCTTTTCCCGTGGAAAAGAGAGGAAGCGGCATGTTTAATGCATCGTTCAACATTTCCATGTCAAACATCGCTTTGACTCGCGGAATTTAAAACCGTCTGGCCGGCGAGCACACGGACGATGGAGCCGGTGGGGGTGCGTGTGTGCGAGCCGATGGGAAAAACCGGCCATCTTTATTTACCGTCGAGCCGCCGCTGGACAAGATGCGCCGGGACTCGATAAGGGCGGCGATCGATAAGGGTTGAAAGAAGCGCGGTTGTAAACGACGTAACGTTTGATTGGTAACGGGGGGAGTGGGTGATTTGTATCGTGGATGATGTTTCGTGCCTCTGTCCATGTAATAATGCGTTCTTTTCCACTTCTTTCTTTTTCTCTCTCTTTATTTTTCTTCTTTTGAAAGGAACGAATGAATGTAGGTGATAAGGTAATTTTTAAAATTATATTCGATTAGTTTAGAGTTTATTAGAGTTTGTTATAGAGCGGAATGTACTTTGATATTTCTTTTCAAAAAATAATTCTTCAAGTTTGTACGTCGATTACTATCTTAATCTTTATTAATTTAAGTAAAAGCGTTTAGGGATCCAAGGGTGGATAAAATCTCGTATTTCTCGTATGAAATTAAATTGTATTATCTCTGAATTCGATTTTGACAACTTAGCAATAGTTATTTTCATTATTTTAGTTTAGAAATCATGCGTTTCGTATAAAAGATATGGATCGATAGGATTTTCTTTTTAAACGAATTAAGAATTAGAAAGGTAATTTTTACGTGTCTGTTTAAAGCTGAATTAATTTCGATATGTTCAAAAATCAAATCAGGGGAGCTTCTATACGAATTATTATTATAGACGCTTGATTAATAATTAGCAAAAGTTTTGAATCCAGAATTCTCAGATTGAATCCTCGACTTTCGTGGATTTCTCGACATATTATTTTTATCTAATGACATTTAAGGGAAAGGAGGAGAGAGAGAGAGAGAGAAAGGAAAGACTAGGAACGACATTTCGATCGTAGCCTCCGCTTTAAGGGGGAGGATACAGGGCAAAGAGGCGAGGTCCTTCCGAGTCTATTTGCCTCGCAACGCTATCCTAGCTGCCAAGTGTGTTTATTCGGTATATCAATAAGGACGAGAAGTGGAGGACGAGGTTCCCCAAGGGTTTCCCTCCTCTCTCTCGCTGCTCGCCTCTCTGCCGGACAGCTTGATAACATTATGTTTCTTGCGCCGACATATGCACCGGCCAGTTTTTGAAGAATGAGGGACCCGCAACCCTAAAACGTTGTGTGTATCAACCCACCGTGGACATGTGTCGAAACGATGATCCTTTCAGGCCTCTCGGACCTGTACGAACCCCCAAAAAACTGATGCTACGAGGAAAGCTATAAATCACGGGAATAATTAGAAGGGAAGAGGGGTCGCGCGACATTTACCCCTACTTTATTATAAAAATGATATTCCTACACGCTACGACCAACTTGTAAAAATTATATATATATACGAGAGATGTAAGATTAATCGATCGTTTTTTAGAGAGAGAGAGGAAGATGGAGCGAGAAGAGAAATTGCGAACAAGCGCCTTTTAAAAAGTAATCTTTGAAGTCGGTGAACTGTGTAACGTAGTCTCGTAGCGTGTAAATTACGCTGTCCGGTTACGGAAGGATCCTTTCTTGCCGTTCTCCGATGTATCTCTCCCCCGGGACTATCACTCTTCCCCCTCGGATCGCCCTCTTCCTTCCGTAGGTATTTAAATTCCGTTTATTCGGCCAACCTTGGCCAAATTATCTCGCGTGCCAATCCCCCTCTTTTATTCCACGTTAAAAGTTGAATAGAAGACACATTCCTCTCTGTTCTTAATTAATTAACATCAATTTTTAAATAGAATATGATATATATATTTTATATTGCGTTAATCTCGCCTCTTTGCCCTGTATCCTCCCCCTTAAAGCGGAGGCTACGATCGAAATGTCGTTCCTA